TGCGCATACTGCTATTTCTGCGTTCGTCCCATTTCCCACTTGGATACCCATGGCTGAACCCAGTTGCAGATTATTAAGTATCATTTTTCTAGCTGTTTCTGTTGTTTTTCTTCCTATCCATACATCATCACTTTGCTCCCCCAATATTGTTGGTTCCTTTGTTCTTTCCAAAGTTTCCTTGGAACTTTGAGCTTTGGAAGATGCCGAGGTGGACAGAGAATGCTGCTTCCACAAAATCAGCTGAATTGGTCGAACAACCAGACCATTTGGAGTTTGATGATCCTGATGAGGTAGATGAAGAGGAAGAAGTTGAGTATGAAGAAGTTGAGGAGGAGGTCGAGTATGTAGAGCCAGAGGAGTATGAACAAACTGAAGTTGCACGTCAAGTTGATGCTAAACATGACAGTAAAATGGCGGATGCTGATAAGGATGAGGATGAAAAAGAGAGTCATGCTGAACTTCTTGCTCTTCCTCCTCATGGATCCGAAGTTTATGTTGGGGGCATCACCTCTGATGTCTCTTCTGATTTATCTCAAAAACTCTGCGAGTCTGTTGGAGAAGTAGTGGAAGTGAGTACTACCTGCTTTCTCTGTGCTAGCTTTTGCATTTGTTTTGTTCTAAATTCGGAGTCTTTTCCTTTTTATTTTCTTTTCTGCAGGTGCGAATGCCAGGAAAGGGTGGTAAGCTGTATGCTTTTGTCAATTTCAGAACTAAAGAGCTAGCTTTAAAGGCCATCCAGAAGTTGAATAATAAAGATCTAAAGGTTTGTTTTAGGTTGAATTCATAGTTGATCTTCATGTTATCCATTATTGCCATTATTTATATTGATTTTTTTACAACAGGATGGGTGTATGTGATAAAGCAAGTATTTGATAAGACAGATCTTCCCAAGTAGGGAACTAAGTTGAAAACTGTATTTTTATGGACTTTATGTTTAGTTTCATGGATCAGATTGAAACATAGCCAAGTACATGGTTATATGATTACACTCATATCCACTTGGCATTTTAAAAAAAGTTTGCGGCAGTTCCACTGTTGAGTTTGAAATACAGAACCTTGTGACTAGTTGCAGACCCCTGTGCTCAGTTATATTTTCAGAAATCAGAATCGTGGATGGTTGTAGATTATGTTTCAAAAATAATTTGGGGGTCCTTTTAAAATATTTGTGACTACATATTATGCAAACTTAGTTTTACAACCCAAAGAACATGAATGCATGCTTGTACTTCCTGGCTCATTGATACCTGATTCATGTATCTTGTATTTTGATACTAACTAGAACCCTATTATTATGATTCTTGTAATAACAGGGAAAAAAGATAAGAGTTTCTTCCTCCCAGGCTAAGAACAGGCTATTTATTGGGAACATACCCTATAAGTGGACAGAGGATGATTTCAAAGAAGCAGTGGAGGAAGTTGGTCCTGGAGTTTTAAAAGTTAATCTCGTGAAGGTATGGATACAATACTAGGATGGTTCAACTATTTTAGCGTGCTGCGTGCATCATTACAGCTATTTTATTACTCTGATCTGAATGTATATTTATTGTAGGCACCACGTTCAGATACAAACAAGGGTTATGGCTTTATTGAATACTACAACCAGGCTTGCGCAGAGTATGCTAAGAAGAAGATGTCTACCCCAGAATTCAAACTAGATAAAAATGCCCCTAATGTCAGCTGGGCAGATACTAAGAATGGTGGTGAATCTTCCTCTACTGCACAGGTTCTGAGCACCATATGACAAAGTGATACATTTGATGTTTCTTCTATCATGAATTCATGATATTGTATATGGACCCACATGAGGAAATGGTACCTTTTATGTTTCTTGTATCATGATATTGTATATGAATGTCCGTCTTTTTTTCAGGTTAAATCACTATATATAAAAAACCTGCCCAAGACTGTTACTCAAGAGCAACTGAAAAAGCTATTTGAGCACCTTGGAGAAGTTACAAAAGTTGTTCTTCCTGCTGCAAAAGCTGGTCATGAATATCGGTATGGTTTTGTTCACTTCAAAGAACGATCCATGGCTATGAAGGCTCTAAAGGACACTGAGAGATACGAACTTGATGGTGAGTTTCCTTATCTACCATCCTTCTATAGCTAGTCAATTTTGCTTCATGTATGCAGAAGGCCATGATTTTTTTGTCCATCAGGTCACCTGCTGGATTGTTCACTTGCAAATCCTCTTGCTGAAAAGAAGGATGATACGACATCAGTACCTAAAGGAGGTCCATTGCTCCCAAGTTATACCCCACTTGGATATGGACTGATGGGAGCTTATAATCCACTTGGAAATGGCCTGGCAGGCGCTTACAATCCACATGTAAATGGAGTGGCAGGTGCTTATGGTGTGCTTGGTGCTCAAGCTGCACAGGTAGATGAAATCTTATAATTTATAAACCATCCCAATGCATGAGGGAATAAATATACAGGAGGGTGATATCTTCTAACTACTGTTTATCTTTGACATTCTTCATACTTGTGCAGCCAATGTTGTATGTTCCAGGTGCTCCTCTAGGTTCAACTATGATCCCAATGGTTCTACCAGATGGCCGTCTTGTATACATGTAAGTATTTCTTCTATCCTAAGTATTATTCTATAAAGCTTATACAGCATACATTACATTACATTGATTTGCTAGCGTAAGCACAACACCCGCTACATCTGCTCCCCAATGTTGTCGTTGTAAACCATTTGGTGGGAGTCCATTGATAAACATATGGTGGTTTGTCGTTAATACATCTGTTTACGGAGAAGAAATGGTTTGATCAATGTGTGCTTATAACATAAAGTCATAAAGTTATCCAGTAGTAACTGAGGGATGTAAAAAGTGTGGCACACCTACCAAATGCCTTGTCTCTGTTAAAACACATGTAATTTATTTAGTATCCGTGGCTCTTAAATTTGACAAGAGGCAGACCTAGAGAATCTAGGTGAAAAGAGTATCTCTGTTGTAGAAGTAGTTTTTGTGAAATTTTCTTTGGTCCTTGCATCATTTTTTCTTCGTCTCATCTTAGATCTTAAGAGCAGTTCTATGAACCAACTGTTGCAGTGATATTACCCTGTTGTTTCCCTTCATATTTTCCTTGGTCTTTGGCAGACCACAGCCTGCAGGGCAGCAGCCTGTGCCTATGACTTCGCCTCCGCCACAGAAAGGTGGTCGTCATAATGGTGGCAGCGGTGGTGGTGGATCCAGCTCTGGTAGAAGGCGACAGAGGGGAGATGAAAGTGGTAGTAGTAACAACAACAGCCGTAGAGGTCGGCACCGTCCCTATTGATGTTTGCAGTGTCGCTGTTAGCGCTTAGAAATTAGAACCTAGTAGACATTTAGAGTATCTCTGCTGCAACAGTACAACCATGCAGGCGACCAACTAATGCTGGAAACCGTACTTTCTAGTAGTTATTTTTCGCCGTGCGTCTCGTGTCTGTAACACAAGCTGCTGTTGTGAGAATAATAACAGTGCAAAGTGGCAGATGTAGTTTGGGATGCAGTGGTAATGTATCTGTTGCTCAAACTTCAAGAATAGTTATGATGTTCGTGTCTGAGGTCTACATCGTGTCAGTTTGGCCGCATTTGGTGTGATGAGTTTTAGTAGTGGAGTGGCTGGTGGATATACAATGAAATGTATCGACTGAACAGTCATCATACACCTCTAGCTTATATAAGATGAGAAGTGAAGATTTTTAGGTGAACGCTGAGCAAGTGGAGTGAACTGGTGAAGAAGAACTAGCAGCAGCAAGTGTTTGCATATAGAACTGGATGGATACATTCTCATCTTCACACGCGCAGTTAACTGATTTAATCAGGCTACGTGGATGCAGCTTTTCAGTATTTGTGTACGAAAGAAAATTAGAGAGAGTACTACCGTTGTGTGCTCCAACTAGCCCTGTGAAGTACATGCTGAAATTCTGTACAATCATCCAGTCAGTTAGCTAGTACTCGTTGTACCTTCCCTTCCTTCTCTGCCCTATGGTTTTACTTGCTAAAACCAAATTTGTGTCGTAATTAAGTTTGTCTTAGTCACAGACATATTCGAGTACTACAGCTTATGGCTCTGTTCGGCTGGTCTATAAGCCGCTTGTGCTGATTTGTATGACTAATTTGTTGGGAGAGAAAAATACTATACTAAGCTGGCTTATAATGGCAACCGAACAAAGCCTATGACATATGAAGGAAGCTGGGTGTGAATGACTTCACATTGCTCTAGATTCATCGCTACAAAACAGCTTGCTCAACATATCGCAAAATTTCAGACCCTACTTAACCTAACTATTTAAAACATCTTTGTTTTAGGCAGCACGTCCAGAATTTAGATAGCAAAATCCTATAAACAGGCCTCTGCAGTGTATGCTAGGCAGAAGATGACAATCCCATCCTCTTGTATCATGATAATAATGTACATGGGCCTGCATTTGTTTCTTTAGGTTGAATCTCTATTTGTCAGTTGGATTTTACTGTACACAGCTGAAAAATATTGTTTACTCTCCTTCAAATTCTTCGAGATTCCTCCAGATTCAGTGTGGTGAGAACCTTGCATAAAACATAAATTACAAAAGTTGGTCATGAAAACCTGTAAGGAAGGTCCATGGCCGTAAGGTTCAATCTGCGGCCATGTATCCGTTAGGCTTGTCCTCCCCAGCGGCGACGCCGCGGGGGCGCCCAGATCCGCCACCCCACACCACCCACGAGCCTCTCCAGCTCCCTTAGCCGAGTCGCCAGAAAGGTCCGGGACGGGCGGAATCCGTTCTTCCAGCGCCCCCGCGAGCCCCGCACGCCCCCGCCTACGCTCGGTCATCGTTGGCTCGCTCCAGCTGAACCTCGAGGGAACCACGGCCACCCCGCCCCCAGCGGCTGCGCAGCGGAGGGTCCGCTTCTCCTTTACTCCGCCCCCAATCACCAGCACCAAAAACTCCGCCTCACATCCCCCACCCAAGAAATCCTGCATCAGATGTACGCCTGCACACGCCGCGGTGCGTGACCCAAGCTGCAGTTATGGCGGCGCTACTTCCCAAGGCGACCGCGGCAAGCTGGAGGCCACCAGCTCCGCGCGCCGCCACGCGACTATGCCTGGTCAACCCGCTGCGACGCGACCCGAGGAGGATGAAGACGGATGGACGAAGGTACTACAGAAGAAGCGTGCAGCTCCGGCGAATCCAACTCGCCCAGCGACCTGCATTCATGGAAGCCCTGAGAGGTAAATGCATCCGATGCCCTGCTGTTGGCCACCGTGCAGCAGAATGTAGAGAGCCGGTCCGCTGCATCAGTTGCAGGAGGTTCGGCCATAAAAGCCAGGGACTGCAACCAAGCTCCGCATCGCTCTGCTCGGCGCCCGCCTGCTCCCGCTGCTCCGCCCCCACCGGACCCCAGCGAGTTCCCACCCCTACCGTGCCGCACCATGCCAGCCCCTGGGCACCCCGCGACCCGCCCAGAGGTCACCAGCGCAGTGGTGGCTGCGACCGACGCGATGGAAGAAGAAGCTGTGCGCCTATCTTCCTGCGCCGTGGTGCTCGGTCAATGCGGAGGCCACGGCGATGTGAAAACAGAGGAGGTTGCGAAGGCGCTCCGGACCTGCTTCGGAGTCCAGCGGGGAGACGTCAGGGTGTCACGACACCGGCCGGAAAATCTTCCTCTCCATCTTCAAGTACCCGCACCACCGTGACACCGCGGTGGGCAACCTTGAATTCTGCATTTGGCCCTGGCGCATTGTCCCCTACGATGACAATGAACGCCGCGGCCGCCGTGATGGAAAGAGCGAGCGCTGGGGAGCAAGCCTGCTCCGAAGCCTCTCTCGTGCCCCCGAGCGGACGAGTGAGAGAGAACGCTCTGAGTCAAGGCATGGCCAACCGCGCCCGACGGACGCCGCAGGTACACCCAGCGCACAGCAGTCCACGGCACCAGCGACGTCGGCCCGCAAGCTGCCCCGGCAGACAGTCCCCACCCCCAGCGGCCCCAACTCACCACGTCGACGCGTCAGCCAGTGGGGTGCGGATCGGCCAGGTGCTCCTCGTCGACACGGCGACACCAGAGATGGAGCCCCATGGGGAGATGACGTCCCCACCTACCCAGCCGTGCGATCAGCTGCTCCATTCGACACGGCAGGAAGGTGTCAACCCCATCTCGTCGCCTGTTTCAGAGCCCAATGGAACCCTGCCACAGGGCGCGAGGGAAGGGGGCCTGCAAGCGATCCCTGCGAAGGTGGACGCAGGGGCTACAGCGTTTGCTCCCACGGCAACGCCACCTGCATCGCCGGTCACGAGGGCTGCCCCGCCTACTCCTCCGGCCGCTCCAACTGCTTCACCAGCGACACCGATGAGCATCACCACCCGTGGCCGCACTATGGAGCGCCAAGAGGGTCGTCACGGCAGTGCCCGCAAACGTGGCTGCTGAGCGTTTCAGTCGATCAACAAAGCTGTGGCCATTCAGAGCCAGTTTAGCTGCATATCCTTATTTATGATACGCTGCCAAGCTCTCCGACTTCTCACTGCTGGGACAAATTTGGTCTTCCATGTCGCAAAGAAATTGTAACATACTCTGCTGGAATGTGCGTGGGCTCAATGACGTGGTCAGGCAAGATGCTGTAAGCCTGCTGGTTAAGGACACAGCTTCCTTCATTGTGTGCCTACAGGAAACAAAGCTACAGAATGTTGATGCGGCCGTCGTCAAGCGGACAGTGGGTGCCAAATTCACAGACAACTTCATTGTGCTACCTGCAGCCCAAACTAGAGGTGGCGTCCTTCTAGCGGCGAATGAGGATTACTCCCAGCTATCAGACGTCCATCTATCTACACACGCCGTGACAGCAACCTGCACCATGAAGGCTGATGGGATCAAATGGCAGATTATTGTGGTATATGGACCACAAGGTGATGCTGAAAAACTGCAATTCCTCCAAGAGCTCAAATCAATTCCCAGGCCAGCTCATGGAAGGTGGCTGATCCTTGGGGATTTCAACTTGATCTACCAGGTGGAAGATAAAAACAATGTGAATCTAAACCGTCGTCTAATGGGTGCCTTCAAAGCAGTAATCGACGAATTGAACCTAAAAGAAATAGGTCTCAATGGTTGCTGATTTACCTGGAGTAATGAACAGGACAGGCCCACTCTCACAAGAATCGACAGGCTCCTATGTACCCCGGAATGGGAATTAGCCTTCCCAACATATGCTTCCTTCATTCCCTACCTTCCCTAATGTCAGACCACACCCCGCTTCTCCTGCAAGGGGACATAGAGCACTACCAAAATTCAACCTTCCAATTCGAGAATTTTTGGGTGAATATGGATGGGTTCAAGGAGATGGTTCAACAGGTTTGGAGCAAACCGGTCCACTCTACCTTACCTCTCAAGCGGCTGAACACAAAATTGGCAAGGCTAGCAAAAGGCATCAGGAGGTGGCGCAGAGAGAAGGTTGGGGACACGCGGCTGCAGTTGGCCATTGTTAAAGAGGTCCTGTTACAATTGGTAGCGGCACAGGAGAACAGGCTGCTCACGAACCAAGAAAACGAACTGCGCCGACGCTTAAAAGCAAGGAGCACCGAACTTGCAGCCATAGAAAAATCCAGGATCCGGCAGCGGTCGAGATTGGCATACATCCGCAGCGGGGATGCAAACACAAAATATTTCCACATCAGGGCCAGCACAAGATTAAGGAAAAACTACATCCACTCTCTACACACGGATGGGGGCGTGGCAGTAGTGCACAATGACAAGGAAAAAGTGGTGACCGATTATTTCTCAGACCACCTAGGCTCAGTTACACAGAGAGGGAGGACCTTCAACTGGGAAGCGCTTGGATATGTCCCAAGAGACCTATCAGCACTTGAGGCACCGTTCACGCAGGAAGAGATCAAGGAAACGATAAACTCCATGCCGTCTAATAAAGCGCCAGGTCCAGACGGATTCACAGGACCCTTTTTCAAAACCTGCTGGGAAATAATCAAGGACGACATCACAGCGGCAATCAACAGCATATTCTCGCTGAATTCAACAAACATCATCCTGCTCCCCAAAAAAATGGATGCCACGCGCGTAACAGATTTCCGTCCCATCAGCCTGATACACAACGTCGCAAAAAATTTTGCCAAATTGTTGGCATACAGATTGGCGCCGATACTGGACTCCTTAGTCTCCAAATGCCAAAGCGCTTTTATCAAAAAAAGGAGCATCCATGATAATTTCCTCTACGTCCAAAACGTAGTGCGCATCCTACAGAAGCAGAAATTGCGTGCTATCTTCTTGAAGCTCGACATTCACAAGGCTTTCACAAAGTCAGTTGGCCCTACCTCCTTGAGGTAATGCAGGCGATCGGCTTCGGACCACGCTGGCGTGAGTGGGTATCGATCCTCTTCCGCGCCTCCTCATCAAGAGTGCTGCTTAATGGGCAACAGGGACCGGTCTTCAGCCATAGGCGGGGAGTTCGACAGGGTGATCCCCTATCACCCATACTGTTTATTCTCACCATGGACCCGTTGTAGCGTCTATTAGACATGGCTACACAACACGGTGCGCTCACCGCTTTGCCACTGCCGATGGCAAGATGGAGGACATCCATTTATGCTGTTGATGCAGCAATCTTCATCAATCCGCTCAAGGAAGACCTCGAAGCCACCACGGCAATCCTACATGCATTCGGCTCAGTCTCGGGCCTACATATAAACATGCATAAGAGCTCTGTCCACCCGATCAGATGCCAAGACATCGACCTCAATCATGTCCTGGCTTCCTTCACTGGAACAAGAGCTTCCTTCCCGTGCCGTTACTTGGGGCTGCAGTTACATACGAGGTCCTTTCAGAAGATCCACGTTCAGCCTCTAATAGAGCGCATTGGACAGAGATTGCCAGGATGGAAAGGCAAAATGCTTAACAGAGCAGGCCGGCAAACATTGGTCACCACGGTGCTATCCTCAATGCCCACCTATCATCTCACCGTGTTCCCTCTAGCAGTTTGGGCAAGGAAGAAAATTGACAAAATCAGAAGATCATTCTTGTGGAAAGGAGATGAGAACGCCAATGGAGGTCACTGCCTCATCAACTAGCCAACCGTCTGCATGCCAAGAGATCTAGGGGGCCTAGGGGTGCCTGATCTGGATAGATTTGGGAGAGCACTACGCTTACGATGGCTGTGGCAGGAATGGGTTGATGACTCCAAACCATGGGTGGGAACAATAGTACCATGTAACGACATAGATCGCCTTCTGTTCAACTCTTCCACCACGGTCACCATAGGGAATGGTCACAAAGCCTGGTTCTGGCACCATGCCTTGCTAGAAGGTGAAGCACCCAGGTATCTAGCACCCAACCTTTTTAAGCTGGTGCGCAGAAAAAATAGGACGATACGCCAGGAACTACTCAATGGGAACTGGATCAGATCTTTGTGGGCACAGATCACTACATCTACACAAGTACAGGAGTTCGTTGACCTATGGGTCAGATTACTAAATGTGCGGCTGCAGGATGATGTGCAAGACTCAATCACTTGGAAGTGGACGCCTGATGGTATTTACTCCACTCGCTCGGCATATAAAATACAATTACGTGGCTCACATTGAACATTTCAGCATGATCTCATCTGGAAGGCACATGCGGAAAATAAATGCAAGGTACATGCCTGGATCCTCATGCACGGTAAAATTCTTAGGGCCGACAATCTACAGAAGAGAGGGTGGCCGCATCAGGAGCACTATGTCTTATGTAATGGGCCGTTGGAGACAGGAGTTCATCTATCTTTGCTTTGCCCTTTCGCAAGAGCTGTTTGAGACCAGGTTCTGTCCTAGGAGAATTTCAGGGTGCATATCCCATAACAGGACCCTACATGCATGGCCAAATGGTCGGAGGAGGAGGCAAGTAAGGTGCCCAAACAGGACCGCAAGCGGTTCAATGGAATCCTTATTTATATTGTGTGGAACTTGTGGAAATAGAGGAATAGGAGGATCTTCGAAAACTGGTTCTACGAGATGGGTATCTTGTAAGTATATGTGTAGGAGCTTGCTATGGTACTCCCAAATAACTGTGAATTGTCGATCTGGATAGCAATTATCATATATTACCTTCTAAGAGGTAATAGGATAAATATATATTTCTATACTTGGAAAATATATTGTAATTAGATTTATTAGGTAACATAGCTTGTAATTCGATCTAACATGCATGTGTGCATGCGTGATGGATGATGTCTTAGTTTTCAACGTCGTCTAGTTACAATGTTTTTTAACGTGACTAACCCCAACACGAATTATCGTTGCAATGTTATATTTTCTTTACTATACCAAAGTGACATGTGTCCAAATTTTTTAGGAAGTCATATTTGAACTACGTATGTTATAATTTGGAGTGCAAATACAACAAACATGTTAACTAGATTAGATCTTATGAAAACAAGAAACCAGACATTATTTTAGATAGACCTTTAATTCGTGATCAAAATCGGTGGCAGGAACATACATTACTGCAAATAACAACTTCTAGGAGAGAAAAAAAAAGATTGAGCAAATAAAAAATCATTGTTTATTATATGCTATAAACTACATGCGATCAAAATACCTAAGAGCCAATGACTTCACCTTTCCAAAAACATGCGAAAGCTAAGCACTTCCAAGACACCTCAGTTCCCGAACTGGAAAAGCCAAGGTAGTAGTCACCAACAAGCAGTGCAAGAATAGGAAAACCTCTAGACTCCCAGAACCAAACTACACACCAACCCACGTGTCCACGCTTAAAGCCAATGGGACCCGCATAAATTAATACCACATTGCATGAGCCAAAAAGGGTACACACCAACCCACGTGTCCACGCTTAAAGCCAATGGGACCCGCATAAATTAATACCACATTGCATGAGCCAAAAAGGGCGCCTATTTAGCATCTAAGGCTCCCCAATACCGGCAAAAACATGATTGATGAGATCAAAAATAGTCACAACACATCATTCTCGATCTCTATGTACACTACTACACAAATCTTAACCATGGCGGGCAAAAAGGGTTAACCGAGGCGGTTTTTGCAACCGCCTCGGACTAAAGGTCACGGTTAATCGTGGCCTTAACCGAGGCGGTTGCAAAAAATGCCGTGGTTAGTGCTATTATCAGAGGCGGTTGAGTTATGTAGCCCGTCACGGTTAATAATTTCAGGAAATAAAAAAAGCCCACCGAGCCTGGTACCACGCGTCGTCGTTGTCCATGGTAGGATCCACGCTCCTGTAACAGAACCGACCAATTATACGAAATTAAGTAAGAAAATCATCCGCCAGAGCAGACGATTTAGCAAACTTAAGCCCGTATAACCCGGTAGTCCGTGAAATCACGAAGGATTTCAAACCAACTTCCATTCCAGCCAAGATCGTAATAAGTTTAGCGGTCACCATCACATATTACATAAAAAGTTGCATCTCAGATACATCAGAGTTTAAACATAGTTATTACAAAACAAGTTCAATTAAAAGTAGCGGAAGCCATTTGTTCAAACCACACACACTCACACGGAGTTCAAATACAGTGCCAGCGAATGATCATCTCCAACAAAAGCATTAGACGAGACGTAAGGAATGACCATGCCCATGGTCCTAAGCATCACCCATCGCAGGATAAAGGTAGTTGATACAGTAGCCGTAATACATCTGCCCATCTGCAACAAGTGGGAATAAAACCCTGAGTACGAGAAGATACTCAGCTAGACTTACCCGACATAACCGAAAATAAGTGACACCAAGGATTATGAAGGCTTTATAGTAGGGTAGCTGACTCATTTGCAAAGAAAGCATTTTTAGCATTTCAAGAACCCTTCTAAAAGTATTATTGCCAAATTAATTATTTATAACCTATTGACTAGATTTGCACCTACACTAGAGCAAACATGTGATTAAGCAGATAATGATAACCAATGATCATTAAACAACTTTCATAATGTCATATTCATTATAACTGTCAAAGTGTTCCATAAACATTTACTACGATGAAGTAACTCAAGTCAAGTGCTCACTATCCAGGAGCGATGGCGATTCGAATCGATTCCTAACCAGCTGGTGATTTATTCCTTACACAAACCTCACTCACCCGCTAAAGTGAGATATTGATCACCGAGTCAACTATCCAGGTATCTCGAGTTTGCCAGGAACCACATGTACCCGGGGGCCGACCGACTACACTTTGGTCTTATCATCTCGCCCCCGTGTCCTACCACACCTGCTTCCTAAGACAAGGTCGCTGCATGGGCAATCTACTCGGCCCGAATAATCTCCCAGCTTCACGGTCGGAAGGTACTTTATCCGGCCAGCTAAATGTAAGGCATGCGTTCAACATGACTCGAGGCCCAACAACGGTCGGTCCTTAATCGACACGATTTAAAAAACACTACAGTTCAAAACTCGCAAGTCTCCGCTCGGTCTCAACTTCATTTAACACTTAGTTATACCATGACTTCATAGTCATCCAAGCGCATCCGTGTAACCACCTATAGCTCGCAGGTGATAGGAAATCACCCGACTTCTCTACCGGTCTAAGCCGGCTAAGCATTGACTCGATCATTGCGGATACCAGGGTAACAAGGATATAGTATAACAAAGGTAAACAAGGTATAATGCAGCAACGGTTGCAAACAACTCCTGAACGTAATACATCAATTAAAGTAAAGCATTTAATTAATAATTGCAAACCGGGAGAAAATGCTCCGGGGCTTGCCTCTCTCGAAGGAGCTCGGGCGGTGATCGGGGCACTCCGGAAGTTCCTCAACGTCCTCCTCATCGACTTCGGGCACTTCCTGCGGCTGCACCTCGAGCTGCTCCTCGGGCTCCTCGGGTATGACGACTAGGTTCTCGGTTTGCGATCCTGTATGATGCAATGTGCGTAAGTGCTTATGCAATCGGTGCATCGAATGAGATGAATACAATGGATATGTTTAAATGCAAGGTAGTCAACATCATCCAAGAACATATACTACGAGCACATGTCATCTACTGCATTCTCTTCTACTACTAATATGTTAAGTCAACACATCTTATTGAATGCTTCAAAGATACACCAAAGCTTCACTAATTTCTTAATCACACTTAAAGCAACACTTGCTTAAACCCTAATTAATAATAGGTTTGAGTAGCGACATCTATTTTTATTGCTTAGAAAAATCTTAGAAAATTACCATAGCACAGTACTACCCTAAGTAGTTTACTATCAGATTTTCATGGTATTTGAATGAGTGGATTAGCCTACACAAAAATAACAAGCTATGGCACGATTATGAACAGGAAAATACTTTGTACTGTGAAAAGTGTCAAACAACAGAGTTAGCATTTTTCCTATGATCTTTATAGCATACAATCACTGTACAAAAATTATCACATGCATGTTTTATACAAAGTTTGCTCTCTAGCAAAAATAACAAAAATCAACCATTAAAGGTACTTGAACTACACCTCAAAATTTTCCTACAGCACATGCATGAAACATATTTTTCCTAGGAAGTACATTACATAAGAAGATCAACAAACTTGGAATCATATTTTTTACGAAGCCTATAGGTTTTTCTACATATTTTTCAAGTTATCAAAGAATATCCATGATTAAATAAAGTTCTACAGAGAAGTATCCCAAAAATGACATGCAATAATTTTTCCAAGTAGATCTGATGATAAAGAACCTAGAAAAATTTATTTCAACGGATTTGGAGCAAATTTGAGTATCCAAACATTTTCCAAACCATTTCTATTTTCAAATAATAAATAAAAATTGAAAACGAATTCTCCTATTGCTACTGGGCCGGCCCGCGGGAATCAGCCCGCCCACTGCCACACTTGGTCTGCGCGGCCCGAGCGAAGAGAAGGGGGAGGCGGCCTGGCCGGGCGTCGGCCCACTCGCTAGGCGAAGGCCAACGCGCCTGCCGTGACACCGCTGCATGGCTGCTGCTTATTAACGAGACCGCTGCCATTGCCGGCCGTGTGAGTAAACTAAGCGGGTGCATGCGGCTCGCGAGAAGCTGGCGAAGGCGGGAAGGTAGCTAGGCAGGGTGGAGAAGAGCAGGAAGGGCGCCTTCCACGGTGGCCGAGCACGGCGGCGCCATGGCCGACGGTGGCGAGGCGCGAGAAGGCGCTACCTGAGCTCGATAGTCGGCACAAGCGCGAGCACCATGTGCCGGAGAGCGAGGCGGAGCATCGGGCGCACGATTGCTGGCCGAGGTGGAGGAGAAGCGGCGAATTTGGCCGGCGGGTGCGGTGGCGCGGCGAGGAGGAGAGTGGGTGAGCTCGGCGCTGGCGGAGAGGAGAGGCAGCGCGGGAGAGTGCAAGCGAGCGCAGTGGCTTTAGCAGTAGCGGTAGCGTGGGCGGGCGTGGGCGTCCGCGACGCTATGACGGCGCCGACGCCAGTCGCAAGATGTACGCGCCACCTGTGCATGGGCGTGTTTCTGCCACGGTCGGCGCGGCTGAAGCAGCGAAGCATGAAGCAGTGGGAACGGGCGAGGGGTGGCGAGGTCGAGGTGCGCAGGCAAAGGGGACGCGGCCAGCCGCTTTGGTCGTGGGCCGGGAAGTCGAGGCGGCGGCTGTTGTTTAAATGAAATTCTTTTCTTTT